GGGGGATTTGTGAATGGTTCAGAATGTCGATACTATGGAGCGTGATTATTACTATTAGGCAGCTGTTTTAGAATCTTGGTAGTTAGCCATGCCCACACGTAACGTTTTCGTTACGTGTGGGCATGGCTAACTACCGTAATTTGTGGGCGTGGCTAGTTACCTTAGTTAAGAAGGCTCGGAGGTACTACTAGCAATCGGGTGCTGGTAACATATGAATACTTGTTATCCGTGATGCACAAGTTATTTCGCTTATTGCAAGCTATGAAGGGTTAATGGAGTCACGTCTACTATTACCTCAGGTCTGGTGTCATGTTCATGTTAAGCACTACATTAATTTCGTGCACTTTGTGAAAAGTGCCTCCGAGGGTCCGTAGCAGTGTGCTATACTGAATTATCTGAAAATTCCTATCGTCCGCGACGAACAACTTCCAGTGCATGTATAGTAGAGGGAATTCATGTTGGTTTCTTATCCAGCATTACGAATTTTAACTTTAGAAGCGGCTGAAGTCTTCTGGTTTTATACCCGTTGCCTGTGGACGCAGTTTCAATCATCGCTGCTATTTTGTTAGCACGATTTGTATATTTTCACAAAATTTGCACAGATTTTCATACCACAGTCCAGTCTAGTTGAAGTTTCAAAGAATAAGTGGATTAGAAAAAATTACTGTACGTTTCAGGATAGCTCACGCAATAAGATTTTGAAAATTGAAGCAATATTTTCAAACTTGTGGTGTTATGCCTTCTGTTATTTTTCATCTAATCGTGTTTTTGAAACCGATGTTGCGCTCACAATTTCCAAGCATTGCTGCAACCGGTTTTTCTTCATTTTATCAATATCCTTATCGGGTTTTTTCGGTTTAGAAAGATATATGAACCCCTGATTATCTCAGGTTTTCTGCGGTTACTCCTTATTCGTTTTAATCCATGTATGAATGCGTTTGACACCATCAATATCGGCTCAGTATATCTCCTGAGAAATCGTCACCGATAAATCAGTTGATATATATTACCAACATGCTTCCCTGAGGTTCATAAAGTGAGAAATGACTGGAGTTAAATTCTCACTATTGAACGAAAAAACGAACTATCAAGCCAGTGCATATGGTGGTTATCTGAAGTGTGGGGTCATCATAATTAGCATTGAGCAAGTTGTGCAGAATTAACATTTTCTTTCACTTGAAGATTAGGTTTCAATGCATTAGTATTGTAAATTTACGATGTAAATTTTCATAATCACATACTTTATTTCAAGCCATTTCACTGTCTTCTTCAGGTTCATTCACGTCAGACAAATTAATGAAGTGTTCACCTCCTAGCGGAACTTATTGAATAGGGGCGTTTTTAGATTGGTTCGACGCGTTTTTTTTTGATACGGTTATTTAAGAAAATACTCGTACAAAAAGTTTTCCAACTAATATGCTGAAAATTGTAAGTTTTGCTCGAAGCTGTGTGGTTCGTTGGTAAGATAGAACATTATTTGAGTTGTCCCGTTCCAGAGGTTGAAGAAGCTGACGTTTTGTTGCATTAACTTATGCTGAAATATTCAAGTTCATACGTCAACTGTCGCTATCAAGAGGAAACACAGCAACGTGATACTCTCTTTCATTGTATTTTTTAGAAAGTCGAACTTAGGCTCACATTCCAGTAGAACTCGAGTCTAGTCTCCGAATGAATTCGCTCAGTTCTCCTTCAACATTTGAAATTTCATTCGTGCCAAGGCGATAGGAACGTCACCTTTCTCAGTTCGTCAGCGAAATTTAAAATTAGCACTGTACCCGTGAATCTGAAGTTACTATTCTGGGAAAGATTGTTTAAATGAGGAGAACTTAATGTGGCGGGGATTAATTCAGTACAATTTTATCACTGAAACTTCCCGAGAACTAATGAATTCAATTGTTTAAGTCAGTTCCGGATGTTTTCATTCTAATGATGGAACGCTGAGAGGCACTTCTCGTGAACTGTTGAATATACACTGAGATGGTTACCAGAATAGCTGGATGTTACTAGAAGATAACAACTGCTTAAGATGGAACAACTGAATGCTGTGGTCCTCAATTTCCTTGAAAATTGTTTACTTTTCGAAGTATTCAAAGAAATCAATTGAGCTGATAGGTCGAAAAATATGTCAGTAGTTTTGACAACAGACATGATACTAGTCTTAAAGTTAAGAATTCTGTAACTATTAGTTTGTACCTGCGATGTATTTCAAATTGTTAATTTATTATATTTCACGCACTTGCTACCTGCAGATTTGGGTTAGCTGTGTTCGTGTTTAACTTCGAGGCGATAAGTCAAAATTTACTGCAACTGCGTTTTGCTTGGAAAGGAATGTTTTTCCGGATTTGAAGTCACATCTTATTTTCAAGACTGCTCCTTCAGCTAACCGAAGTATCACTGAAGTAGACATAATACTAAACGATAAAACAAAACGATCAACCAGAAAACATAATTCCTCATCTGGTATTATATTTATCGCTTAATTTTGAGCTTAAACGTACTGCTCTACATTTTATCAATACACATTTATTTGTGCATCAAGCAACGTTTGAGTTCTTCATTGTAGAATATTATGATGTTGATTCGAAATGATTTGAAGAGTTTATGATTTGCAGTTTTTCGATTTATTAGTTTTTGATTCATGTTTTAGTTAACTAATGAGAACTGAACGTGGATATTATTATAATAAAACTGAAGATGGCATTGATTAGGTTACATGTAGGTGAGTCATGGGTGCGATAGAAGATGTTAGTGGTGTTGGATGACACATTTGCATGCGCTGATAAGGGCGGCTCGAGATAAGTGATGAAAATTTTTGAAATGGCGCTTCGATTGTATCGTAGTGAATGTGTAGAGGCAATGGGGTTGGTTGATGAGAGAAAAAGTCGATGTGAGAGTGGATTCGTATGACAAATCAGGTTGCCATCTTGAACGGACGGGCTGCTGGGCTGGGCCATCGCTGCTGGGTTTTATTGGGTGGCGTTTGTGCTGTCCAGTCATATAGACATAGAATGCACACACATTCATTGACACACACACACACATTCTTATCCATTATTCTTCGTCTTCTTAAAAACTTATCTATCCAATGTGCATGCATATCTGCTCTCACTGATGTTGATTCCGCTTTCTGCTGCCATAGCACAGTGTAGAGAAGAACATGGCAACTGCCGAATGCGCAATGCAAGTGTTGTGTTATTGCTGTCTCTCATTCGCTTTCATCTCGTCTCGTCTCCTCACGTCGAATTCATTCTTTCACTCGTGCATCACTCCAAATCACATAGCAGAGTGTGTCTGCCTCTCTTTTGCAAGTGACGCCCTCTCGGGACCGTCTGCATGTGCTGGTGCAGAAGGCGAAGGGTGTTTATGAACGCTGCTGACCGCACGCATAGTGCTTTTCTTTCTTAGACAATACGTGATGAGCTGATGATCATGACGATGATGATAATAATGATGAGCATGTTCATCAGATCATCATCTAAGCTGATGATTTTTGAGCAAACAGCTTGAGGTGTTTGCTCAAAGAAGACGATTCCTGAAGGAAGTTGTTTTGTTACGCTGGAGTACAGTAACCATGTAAAAAAATCGATTACTGCTTTGTTCAGATGGTTTGATATTGATGCTTTGATAAGGTGTTTTATTGATTAGAGCTGAGCTATTTGTTTGGCATTTGTTAAGGACGTAATCGCATCGCGCTGATGACAAGTTGAATGCAGAACGTTGTGTTTAAGTTGGTGTGTGTTTGTTTCAGAGCCATCCGCGCACGAAAATCAGTAATAAGTGACGCGACGCGTGTTATCACATTGAGGGAACGAGAAGAAGCAGAAGGAGGAGAAAGAGAACGACGGTGCTTGCGATCCATCCGTCAGACAACGCGAGCTGCTTGCAGACAGACAACGACAAATTGTGTGGATTTGTCGTCGTCGGTTTGTCTCGATTTATTTGAGTGAAAAGTCGAAAAAGTACTCAAAGTTTGAAATCAAAGTGGAAATTGAGTTTGTTGAACGAGGATCGTCATCAAATCGATATTCACTCAAATCGAATGCGTGATATCGCTGTTGTATGAGAGTGATAAGCACAATCCAAGTATTGAATGTGCTGCTGCAATAAATCTCTACAATTCTACTACTACTATTATTATTTGCAATTCCTGCTGAGTATTTATTTGGAATTTATTGCAATTGGCGCAGCAACGTTGAAATCGTTGTTGCAGATATTTATCGCTGATCGTGTCTACTAACTAAGGGAGCCCCCTTTTGGGCGGCATTCTCTTTCGTTGTCTGAATTTATTCAGCTACAGTTGAATAATAACTATTCATTTTTGATTTGGAAGCATCTAATCATTGCTTGTCGACACAATTAACTACAAATGATGTCGACTGATATTATGGATGAGCCATCAACAAAAAAGCAAAAGCTGTCGTCACCTTCTGGTTCGTTTTCCTTTTCATCTGTGATTCATTTCGAGCATTTTTTCACTCACCGAATTAATATTGAATTGATCGTTCTCTTAAGATGTTTATTGCCGATGATCGTTAATGTTTAAAACATCAGTTAATGATTTTTGGTCATCGTTAGTGCACTGCGAAATTAATTTGAATGTTGCGTATATGCTTGGCAAATTATTTCTGCTAAATTGGGTTCAGTTCATGGGGCTTATTCGAAAGCGAAAGCGAACTTACAAAATTTTTGCGGAATTCCTCAAAATTTCTTGTTATTCATTGCTGATTACTCGTCTGGCGCTTGGATTAATCGAGGAATTCGAACAATCATATTGCGGAATGATCTGAGTTAGCGCCTGCAATTGAGCATCCTGCAATCTCTACGCACAATTGAGCATCTTGCGATGAATCCGAAATCGGTTAATGTGCGCACATGGTGTTTCCTAGAGAATTTGTGAAATTTAAATTGATTCAAATTAATTCAATTTCATTACAACTTATCAGCCTTGCCAGTTTCACCTTCCTTCTCGTTGAATTCGATGCGAAAAATATTTCATGCGCTTGGATTGATAGTTAGCTTGGATCATTTTGATGCATGCATTAAGCAGCAACAATCTCACTCCATTTGCAGCTTTGTCTCTTGATTTTTTGTTGTTGTCTAGAAAAATATTTCTATGTCACTATATTCCACCGTTTATATAATAATTCAAATTGATGAAGCTACAATTTGTTCGATGAATTCTTATCGCATAACTTCCAAATACTCCGATTTGATTATCTTCCTTCGATGTTTTCAAAACCTTACTTCTGCAAAAAATATACCCGTCATTATTCATGTTTTAACATTTGAAATAATTCCTCCTTGAACATAATATCGTTCATGCTTTGCTTCGGTTAAATATCAGTCAGCGCAGAGAGATTCGCTCTCATCACATACGTTTATCAGAATAATTTGATCAGCAAATGAGTGTGACGATGCACATAATATCTAAGATTGAATTTTAAATGTTGCGAAAATTGAAAAAATCATAAGCGCTGCTGATAACAAAATACCATTGAATCCTTTGAAATTCACTAATTTTTGGAGATGGTTGTGATATGATATTTGATTTGTTGAACTGTTTCATTGGTGATACCCAAACTCTCTTGCACAAATTTGTAACTATAGTGTGTTACTTTCATGATTATCAGAAAACTGCGGTATTTTCCAATTCTATCAATTCATTCCAGAAAATAGTTGTGAAAGTTGGAACAAAAGCTGGACAAACCTGAAGTAAAATGTGATACTGTCGTTACGCTTCAGTTTGTTCCCACCCCATCACGATACCAAAACTGAAGACTTTCTGTGATTTCATTGAAAAAAAAATTTCATTGAAGATCTTGTCTTCCGTGATAGAATTTTTTCATTCCAGCTCTTTCTTACCACTTCTGTTGTCTTCTTCTCATTCAAGAAATTTACAAAAATGAATTATAAAAATAACGGGTTATTCGTAATTCTGATTTTGAAAAAAAAGTTCATTGACTTATTTCCAAATGTGACTAGATGAGGTGGCTACAGCTCAAGCCATTCGAAGCATCCCATCAAATCACTCTGTTTTTGATCGTAGCGTTGCATTATTCATTCAACGTGAATCAATGATCATGAATCTTAATGTTTATGAACTGCTGTTATTTGTCTAGCAAATGAGATCAGACTGATCTTTGCCACTCTATCTATTTGCGTTCTTTATTGTCATCTCGGTGCACTGCATCATGTATTTACTTTTTTGTTCCGTGAATTCAATAACGACAAAACATTAGTGCAACATTGAAGGGACTGAAAGCTTAAGCGCTTAACCCTTGACCTATCCCGAGTCTATCAATTAATAGAAATTTTTTGGAAAATTAATTGAGTTAAACTAGGTATAAATGATGTGAGTGTTGGAGTCAGCTAGTACAAGCTCAGTGTCAATTCATTCCCTTGATCGTTCCAATCACCTACTTCCTCAGCTTGTTCGCCTATCTGGTGGATATTTTATTTTGATTCCATTTAATGACTCTCAGTCGCTTCATCGGCACAGTTATATGCTACTTCATAAAATGGTCCTTTCTTTTGCAATTCATATCTCGCTGCAAAAAAGATCCGACCAAATTGGATTCATGTCCGGAATTAGCTTTAACAGCTGAATAAGAGTGGTTACTTAATTGATCCCGAGGGTCGGGGATTGATCTCGAGGATCGTCTTGATATTTTTGGAATGTGGACCTGAATTTGGACATGAATTTTAGATTTTGACGATGATCCGTTGAGTGAATTGGAAAAATTGGATCCTTTGCCGTCAACTCAATCGCAAAATGGTAGTAATATGGATGTTATGTCTCAGCAGCCATCCAGTGTTCATATATCGGTAAATTCATCTGATCGTTTCCTCAAATTTCGTTTCTTTGAAATTTTTTTCCTGAATGCAAAATTCATGAATGCTGAAATCTGCGACCGTTACACCTTCAACAACAGCAAATAGAAATGGGTTTTTAGATGAGTAACGGTGGTGGTCCATCATCGGTGGGCACGATGGGTCCGTCGAGTCAGTCGAATAGTGTTGGGCACGGTGGCTACGGCAGTGGGCCAGGCTCACAATCGCAACCAGTCTCGGTGTCCACCCAGTCGATCTCAGTATCGCAGCAATCCTCAATAAGTCAGTCAACCTCACAACAACAAACCACATCCAACTCCCAACAGCAGCAGCCCTCTGTTCTGCAAGAGTTATTATTGAACCCAACCAACCAAAATACGCAAACCATGAACAGTCCTCGACCCCCATATTCAAATCAATATCAGACAAGGTTTCTTTTTATTTCTTTCGTTCATCTATTCCTGACTACAGCAAAGAGTCGATAGAGGAATTGTTAACAGATTTAAAAATTTGTGAATATTGCTTGCTGATATCTTTTGCGAACTGGTTGAGGGAAGTGCTATGAAGTATTAAAGCAAAACTCTGAATTCACATCCTAGCATTTGATTACCCGTCTGGCCTGACGAGCAAATAACCGTTTCCGATGTTGTTCCTCTTCCAGCGAACAAGAAAGCATGCCAGTTCAAATCATTTGCTCATGCCTCCTTTATTGCCTTTCATAAATTTCTGTTATTTATCATTCGTTGTCGTAAGTATGGTGGGAAAATGAGAGTGTTCCGTTTAAGGAGTCCGATGACAAGTGCCGCAACAATGATGTCACCAGCGAATTGTCCCCCAAATACGGCAATGCCCGGCGGTGGTCCTACAGGTCCGCGGAGTATGCGACCCACAGGACCTCAAATGTACTCGCCTAGCCCTCACCCCGAAATGGGTGGACCCATGCAATCGGTATGTTGCTACGCACTGATTCAAGTTTGAAAAATTTTATTGAGAATTTCGACGGAATATTATTATTGCTTGCTAATATGAGTAAACATTAATTGTATAGAATGATGATGAGAATTGAGCATTTAAATGAAAGAAGATGTGTGATTTTCATTATAAAATTGTACGGTATTAATTATGTTGGTCATTGTAATGAAGAAACGCGCTGTAATCTATTGTTCAGCACAGAGTAGATAGAGGAATTGTTAACAGATTTAAAAATTTGCCGATTTATCGAGATTGATGATGTTAGGTATGGAAAAGTTTTTCTTCACTTTATGATACGGTCATGAAGAGTATGGAGCAAATGACATGAAAATTGATTTCAAGGGAGCCTCAAGTCAAATGGGACATCCCGGGCAGCAAGGAAGTTACGTGACATCGCAAATGATGGCACCTCAACAAGCGCAACAATCCATTGCGTATACATATCAGCAGCAACCTGGTTTGTCATCATTTCTATTACCATCGGTGGTTTTTTTTGGTTTGCTAACTGAATGCTTTCGTTCTACTGGATGTTTTAGATGCCAAATTCGTATTTGAATTGCGGATGTATTTATAGGAACTCGACCGATTTATGCGACCAGTGTGAGGGGAGGCGCACCGCAATCAACGGGTATGGGTCGAGGTGGTAACACTATGATGATAAATGGATCTGGGAACCCGCGAATGCGAGCTGCTCATCCCGGTTCGTCATTTCTGTCATTATTGTCGTTTTGACTGTCTTATATATGTATGCTCTTAATCTGATTAGAGCATTGACCAACGAAATTAAGTGTTACTTTTTTTGCAGGGATGATTAGTATGCAACAAGGTGGTGGTGGTCAAATGATGCGAAATATGATCGTACAACCAAGCGGCGCGCAGTATGAGCAAAATGCTTATGGTATGCCATCGTCTGGTACAACACCTATGCAGAGGGCACCGAGTGATCCGTACATAATGCAGCAGTCACAAAGCGGAGTAAGAATTAATTTGACTTCGATTTTAGATTCGTTCATTTATAATCATATGGGGAGTGATTCATTTGTTGATTAGCGTGTGCTTGTGAAATAATTCGATTAATATTTTAGTGGCGCAGTTTCGTTATTGTTTCAAAATGATCACAGTGAACTTGACCAACCGTTTTACTTGGCTTTTAGTGTTTATAATAGCAAAGACACTCAAATTTTCATTTGTTTGAGTAATTTATCATTATGTCTTGGCAGAACTCTAATTATGACGGTCACAGAAAAAATTAATCCCAAACAGCTCATAGTTCAATGCATTATTTCAGCAGCCAGTACCTTCACCGAATTACGCCCAAATGCAGCAGGGGCATTTAGTGAGCAGAGGACAGCCGATCGGGTATAGTAACGCACCAAGTGCGCCTCCTAATATGCAACAACCTAGCAACGTATGTGCTTTTCGTTTATATTCCGTTATGTTTTTTATATTGTAAATTCTGCTTGGAGTATGAATGAGAGAAGTTTCAATTGTAGATGATACCAACACAACATTTGATTGAACAACAGCATCCGATGATGTCCTCCCCACAACAACCCGGTCAAAGCGCTGGCGCACCACCAAATCACGGTGGTACTGTTATGCAACCGATGGGTGTACAGTCCAGCCAAATGAACGTCTCGAAAGGTGGTATGATGCCATCTATGACTACACAAATGACCACTCCCAGTGCTTCATCAAACACTCCAATGCAGCAGGTTTGTGCTTTTAGTATAGTTGAAATGAAAAGGAACAAACTGACAAAGAATTGCGTTCAGCTCTATGAATCTACTAGTTTTTTGCAAATTTATTTATGTGCCATATCCTTTGTGCCGTTTCAGTTCGTACACGGAGGACAACAACGTGAAACTGGTGCGCCATTGGGGAGCGGCAGCCAAGGGAATCAAGACCCTGAAAAACGAAAGCTCATCCAGCAGCAACTCGTCCTCTTACTTCATGCTCACAAATGTCAGCAACGTGAACGATCTGGAGGGGTAATCGTTTAAATTTAGTTACGATTTCATCAATTCACTTCTACTGAGAATGAAACTATTATTAGTGATAATGCATATAAAACATCTTGTGAAATGTACAGGATATGGCGAATGGCCGAACCACATGTACATTACCGCATTGCTCAACGATGAAAGATGTTTTACAGCATATGACTACGTGTAGTAGTGGGCGCGCTTGTAATTGTAAGTTCACATAGATGAATTCGTTATATGATTTCGTTTTTGAAAACTTTGTTTTTAAAACCTTTGCAGTCATCATAGCAGACAACAAGAAATTTTATTGCAGATGCCCATTGTGCTTCGTCACGACAAATTATTTCACACTGGAAGAATTGCATTCGTGAGGATTGTCCTGTTTGTAATCCTTTGAAGAATATCCAAAACACTTCATCCGGTGCTGATAGGCGACCTGTACCAGGTATGGCGGTCTAAATACTGCTTATTTGATTGCATGTTAACAGTGAATTAAAAGCAAGTTCTTCAGTGGGTGATGTGTTCGGTGGAAGCAGTGGACCAGGTTCACAGACTTTGCCGTGCGGTCCACCGAGCGTTGGTAATGTTGATACCGGTGGTGCGCCCAGTCGAATGAGTGCAGCTTCACATACGGGCGGTCCAATGAGCGCGGGTCATGGTGGTCCGGGTTCAGTGGGTGGCGTGCCGGGCTTTGGTTCACCGAGTACATCATCCTCACTGCTCATTGACTACAACCCCTCTTCGTTAGTTTTCAGATTATCTATTTTAATTGAGGAGATTTTTTGTTTTTTTAGAAGATTGTTTTATGATCGAAAAAAAATTTTGAAGATGATTGAAAAGTTTTGAACTTTCAGCGATCCATTTCGATCGCCAAATCCGCCAAATAAAGTGGTACCATCGAGCGGTAAGGGCTGTGGTATGAACATGAATACGAGTGATAACCTGAGTGGTTTACCGCCACCAGACGCACCGTCGATGGTAAAAGAATGGCATCAACATGTCACCAAAGATCTGCGAAATCATTTAGTTGGTAAACTGGTGAAAGCCATCTTCCCAGCGCCAGATCCAGCAGCAATGCACGATCAGCGCATTAAGGATCTCATTTCGTACGCAAGAAAAGTTGAGAAGGAAATGTTCGAAGTGGCCAATGATCGAGTTTGTTTTGTTTGCTACTGCATCTGCTCTTGTTTGGGTTGAATGGATATGCCAAATTAATCATTGCTACAAAAGAATAATTTGCGTTCGTTAAAACATCATTCGAATGAGTCATTGTGATGTTTGGACAGCATACATGTAGTACTGAATATTGAACTTGGCGTCAATTTGAAGGAAGAATATTATCATTTGCTCGCCGAGAAGATTTATAAAATCCAAAAAGAGCTGCAAGAGAAGAAGATCAAACGATTGCATGAGCAAGGCAGAGGAGGTGTAAATGCCGGTGGAGCAACTGGAACCAGCCAAGTCACCCAGTTCAATCGTAAGTTTATGAATGTTGTGTCATCACTTCTGAACAAAGTTCTTTCCCTTCAGAAGAGATATATCCATTGAAACTGTTTCCGGCAGATTATCATCTATTGATATTTATTTGTAAATGCTATTCGGGTTGTTATAAATGGATTTATTTATTTTCATTATTTGAAATTTTGTTCCCTTTGTTTAGACAGTGATTTAGAGCTGTGAGCATTCTTATCAGGAATTTGAATTGATGCGTATGTAGCTTTGGTGTGAAAATTAGTGATAGAACTGGTTTCTGCAGTAACTTTAATTTCGCCTTTTTGTTGGGAATAACTTTGGTTTGTCTAACGGAAGTTTTGTAGAAGGCAGAAGATATGCTGTGTGGTTGTTGCAAAATGGTACTGAAATGCGATTGTTTTGAATTGTTTGAAAGATGATCAAATTAGGGTGGAACGTTGAGTGGAGATAATTGTGGTGATCATTGCATTGTGAACATTTCTGAAAAGAAAATGCGAGCTGTTGTTGTTTTGCAACGTGCGAACGTTTACTCTCCTGTTTTGTGTTCGTAATAATTTGTCAGCCGGCAATTTTAAAGGATTTATTTGGCGTTGAATTGAGTTTCGACCTCATCGAATATTTCAGTTGCACGTTGTTTTTCCACTCATTTCCATTCTTATTTTTTCCTACTTTGGTATTCTGCGTTTATCTGAAAATATTTTTGATGTAATCTAACGACAGCATTGTGGTGAGACATATTTTGGTACGTGCAGTAATTGTATTTGAGTCGAATGAGTAATATTTTTCATAAGATACTTTTGTTTTGATAGACTTGAGAGGGTAATTTGTAATTTGTAAGTGATCAGACGATTCACTGGTATGTAAAGTTTTCGTAAATTAGGTCGTGTTTTGTTGAGTCTTTTCTCTCATTCGTTATAATTGCAACAGTAATAAATTCCTGTCAATGAATCTGTCACTAGTGATGTTATCATTGAATCAAAAGAGTTGATCTGTATTTGGGAAGGGGGTGATTCCAATGTATTTGCATTTTCAGTAATAAGGTAGAATGCAGATTAAATGATTTTTGCGGAGAAAAATTTGAACTAACGGTTTGATAGAATAATACTTATCTCTACATGTACAGTTTCAAGTAGTTCTAGGAGAGTTAGGATGAGAATAATTAATTTCAAATGCAGTTTTGTCAAATAGATGATCAGTTGCTTGGTTGCATATTAGCAAGAACTGCAATTCGATTCATTGTTCGGCTGTTTCGTTCACGAGGACAGAGAATGCCTCGTGACGGGTACGGGTCCGTGTGCTTGGTGATTGCTCATTGTTTTCAAATGAAAACGAGAGTGCCTGCATAGTACTACAAAGTGTTTGCTCTTCAGCGGCGATCGACTTCGATATGCCTGGTCCGCCGAATCGAACGACACCTTCATTTGCGTTGTGTGCTAGTGCTGGTGGTGGAGGTGCTGCTGGGATGACGCCCTCGTCATCAGCGCAGATCAACGCCCAACCACCCTCTTCTACGGGTTCGCAGCTTAATTATATCCATAGACGCACTGTTGATCTGATCTGATCACAATGACACACTCATATTCAGTTGATCACATACTCGTTTTCTGTTTGCACATCTCACTTTCTTGTTTACGTATCAGTTATCGTGATCGTTTCTGGCGGGTTTATTGTGATGCTGAGAAGCTTTCTGAAAATGGAAAGAAATTCTGCCTCTACGAGAAGATAGTGAGTGATCGGCACTTGAAGAATCTGAGCTAGAGAAACATTGCGATTCGGTTACACTAAGGAAGCCTTCGGACGGATTGTCTCCTTATCGCAGTGATATTCTTGGTTTTGACGATGAATATTGGAGTAGCGTACAGATTGAATATTGTTGCACGTATTGCGATATTGTGAGTATGATGCATGTTGCTTACTGGCTAGTTGCTTGTCGGTTTTTGTATTAACATTGTGAATTACTCGCGTTAACCCAGACATAGCACAAATAATTCAGATTTTGATGCTTGGTGAGTTTTCTCTTCCCAGAGACAGATTTTTTTCAGTGTTTGCAACGACTAATTAAAGTTTATCGTCTTGATCTTCAAAAATTGCCATCCACGTTATCTATTCGCTGTTAGCCACTGAATGAGTTGTTGCATCCTTAGGCTGCACCTCAGTCTTTCCTTGAGCAGCACCGCATCAGTTTTATGTTTGTATTCAATAGTGCTGAGGTATAATCAGTGCTTTGTGTGGCATAGCAAGAGCACAAATGAGTACGGGAGGCCTTTATTTTGTGAATGAGTTGAGTGAGATTAGTTGAATTGAGAAGTGATTTGTGTGTTCTATACATTCAGTTTATAAATGTCTAATTTGTTCGTGATAAATAGTTGTGGCATTCAAGTTGAAGATAAATTCAGTGTGTTGATGGTCTGGGATCATTGTTTAGTTGTGATTGTTGATTGCTAATTTGCATGTTTGAAACGCTTTTTTGTGTTCTGTTTTATCATTATTGAACATTTTGATTTTACCTCTGCTTCACTTGGCAAATTTTTATGTTTTTTCACCTACTCGTAATTTTTTGTGTCCTTGCCAAGAGCATTAAAATAATTTTAAAGTTTATTTTAATGTAAGATCAAGATAAAAGTCAAACATGTTGAGGGTTAAACCACAAAACAGCTAATGAAATCGTTTCTTTTTGAGTTTTTGATTAGGTGAAATGGAGGAGCTTTCGTTTTCGATCATGTATTAGATTGGTAGGGAAGCAGTGTTTTTTGATTGAACAGTTTCTGCTGAATCTTCGTTCATTGAAGAAAGCAAGAGCCATTTTAATTGTAGGTACTCCGGGTGGAGCCTTGGCGAATGGACAAATGGGTGCCAACGGTGCATCGTCAATGGTGAAAACAGAGCCGACTGAGGTTATTGAGATTGCGAATGGCGCTCTTAATTCACAACGGTCCACTCTCTCTGAAGATTCTAGTGGAGGATGTTCTTGTGAGTTTCTAATTATCTTCTGAATTCGAATCATTATGACATTATGCATTATTGTAAACATCACAAAGTTGGTTTATTTAACGATCGCATTACTACAAGATTGTTATGTCATTCATTATATCATTGCAGCTAAACCAGGTACTTCATCATCATCTGATGGTGGCAAACCGGTGCAAAGTTTGACAAAGGCTGTAAAAAGTGAGACGAAACTGATAAAAAGTGAGCCAAAGGAAGAGAGCAGTCAAGAGGAAAAGAAAGATTTACCTGAAAAGGTTTCATATTTGCAATTCATTTGCCATTTTCCCGGCGAAATTTTACTATATTCTTGGCGGAAGAACGAGAAGAGTTTAATCGCTCTTGTTTCACACAGAATTTTGGCAGTAAAATGTTTTTTTTTTCAGGTTTTCGATGCCAACGAGTTGAGGAATCACTTGAAGCCAATATTAGACAAATTGTTCAATTTGGAGGAGTCAATACCTTTCCGGATTCCTGTCGACCCAGATATTTTGGGAATACCAGTAAGAACTTTGTTTACCTCTCTAAAATGATGATGACTGCAATCAAATTTAAATATGACGATTGTTTATGTTATGTCGTTACAGGATTACTTTGATATAGTGAAGAACCCAATGGATCTATCGACAATCAGTGACAAGTTAGATAAAGGTCTGTACAAAAATCCTTGGCAATTCTGTGATGACATGTGGCTGATGTTCGATAACGCATGGCTGTACAATAGAAAAAATTCGAAAGTTTATAAATATTGCACAAAGGTAATTTCTTTCATTATTTTCTTCGGATATTTTGATTTTACAAAAACTGAACAAGTAGCAGTTGTTCTGATGGTGGATAATCAACGATGTGCTCGATTCTTTACTGCACCCTTGCTGAATTTCAGTTGAGTGAACTGTTCGTCGAAGAGATCAACCCAGTGATGCGAAAAATGGGATATTGTTGTGGTCAGAAGTTGGCATTCACCCCACTCGCTTTATTCTGTTACGGACAGTCGATGTGCACGATAGCGCGTGATCAGCCGTATCATGTTTATGAAGCAACTTCAACGCAGTACGGCGTGACTGTGTCAGATCGTTACACTTACTGCACGAAGTGTTTCGAAGCGTTGGATGAGAAAGGAATCAGTCTCAGCGAAAACCCGAACGATACGTCAAACATGGTACCAAAGTCGAAGTTCACACTGATGAAAAACGATCAGATAGATCCCGAGCCATTCGAACAGTGTAAAGTTTGTCATCGGCGTTGGCATCGTATCTGCGCCCTTTATAGTAAAAAGGTATGTTGAATGGTGTTTGAAGAATGCTTTATGATGTTGCAGGTAGTAGGTGGATGTATATTCAGCTTTTACTTTCTTATTTAGCTCATCGTTAGTAAATCTAAGCATTTCCAGGTATTTCCGGAAGGCTTCACATGTGAAACGTGCCGGAACGAGAAGGCATTATCAAAACCAGAAAATCGTTTCACAGCAAAAAAGTTACCGCATTGTGCACTTTCACGGTTCATCGAAGATCGCGTAAATAAATATCTGAAAAGCAATCCGGCTGGTAGAGATTGTGAAGTTATCATCAGGGTTTTATGTGCGACCGATAAAGAGGTCGAAGTTAAACCGATGATGAAGCAAAAGTAAGTTGTAAAGTTCATTAACAGATGTCATCATTCACTAATGGTTGCCCTATAACATTTAAAGTCGGGCTGAAGTCAGTTCTGCATATTACCAAAATAGAGAATATGTTGTTGTTGTTTCTAGGTATGGTCCGATTGGCTTCCCGGATAAGTTTCCGTACCGAACAAAAGCTGTTTTCGCATTTGAGGTTATTGACGGCACTGAAGTGTGCTTCTTCGGTCTTCACGTGCAAGAATACGGCAGTAATTGTCCACCACCTAACCAAAGGTGCGCTTTGAAAACCTACTATTGTCATTATCCTGATCGCTGTCGTTGGTGTGATCAATGTTAATATCATCAACATTTTCTTTCAGACGTGTCTATATCGCGTATCTTGATTCGGTTCACTTTTTCCAACCTCGCCAGCTGCGAACTGAGGTGTATCACGAAATACTCCTCGGTTATTTGCACTACGCAATGTTACTCGGTTATACGATGGCACATATCTGGGCGTGTCCGCCATCAGAGGGCGACGATTACATATTTCATTGTCATCCGCCCGAGCAGAAGATCCCGAAGCCGAAACGTCTTCAAGATTGGTATAAAAAGATGTTGGACAAAGGAGTTGGTGAGCATACGGTGTTCGATTATAAGGATATCTATAAACAGGTATAGTTGGTGTGTTTAATTTTATGCATTGTTCGTTGCGAGTCGCGATTGATATGATGATGTTTCCTCGAAGGAGTGCTTCAGCTGAAAGGGCTATCATCTCAAAGCAAAAAAATTTCAGGCGCGTGACGATAACTTAACGTCGCCAATGGCACTTCCATACTTCGAAGGTGATTTCTGGCCGAACGTCATCGAGGATTGTATTCGGGAGGTTCAGAACGAAGAACAAGAGAGAAAACGTCAAGAAGAAGCACAGCACAATGCAGATGACGATGACGAGGATGATGTATTCCACACGGGCGATAACGGCAAAAGTAAAAAGAATAGGTATGGATGGTCCTCTTTTGGGTTTTGATTCGAATCGGTGTTTGTTTAATGAGTGAGTGAATGCTTTTGATTTTAGCAAGAAAAAGAACAATTTGAAGAAGGCGAATATGAAAAGTAAAAAGAAGCAGGGCACGTCGACGGGTAACGAGGTTACCGATAAACTCTTCAACAACTTTGAGAAACACAAGGAAGTCTTCTTCACCATTCGCTTACTTTCGCCGCAATCAGAACTGACGGCACAAAACAGTGAAATAAATGTCCGTTTTTGTTTTATCAATTTATTGCATTTGTTTTTGTTTTTTTTTNNTTTTTTTTAAACTTTTCTATGTGTATTTTATCAAGATCGCCCCTCACCGTGTAAAAGTACGGTCTGAACCAAATTCCACTACTCGAATAATTTCATTGAATATACAAGTACGTCACTTTTGACAAGTAATTTTGCGGAAGGAATTTTGCTCTTCGCATTGAAGCCTTTAGTGAGGAGTATGTGTACAGATGCGTTAGATGTAATCGTTCTCATAATCATTTGTGAACATTTTAAGGATCCAGACCCGTTGATGCCAAGTGATTTGATGGATGGACGAGATACATTCTTAACGCGAGCGCGTGATGAACACTGGGAATTTTCATCGTTGAGACGAGCGAAGTATTCGTCGATTTGCTTTTGTCATGCGTTACACAACCAGGAAAGGGGCGAGGGCCTGTCATACACCTGCAACAACTGTCAGCGTAACGCTGTTTGGCATTGCACGACATGTGACGTAAGTTCATCTCAGTTGATCACGTTATCATTTATTGTTTTTGATGCCGTTATTTCCAATGTTCCTTCGCGGCGGTCATCTATAATCCAAATATCACTCACAATCAGTGCGAACTTTTTCAGCTATTACTATGAGATTGCTCATTTGGTGAAGATTGTCTCATCGAAGTTGACTTGCAAGGGTTCTAATTTCGAGTACTCTACTAACTGAAGGCAAATTCATTGTGAGTATATTTTAAGGATTTCGACTTGTGTAACAAATGTTATGAGTCGATGTCACATCCGCATAAACTGGAAAAGGTCAACGCGTTGGTCGAAGTTGGTGGGGAGGATAAGCAGGATGCTGGCAACTCTCGAAATGAGAGCATACAGGTAGATAGATATGATTCGTTTGTTTGCTTGCGATCGATTTGGGTTTGAAAGAAGCATGGATTGATTATGTACAACTTTAGCGCTGTATACAATCACTGGTACATGCTTGTCAATGCCGCGATGCGAACTGCCGTCGTCTGTCGTGCCATAAGATGAAACGAGTGGTACAACATACGAAAGTGTGCAAGAAACGTCAAAATGCGAACTGTCCCGTTTGCAAACAGCTCATTGCACTGTGTTGTTATCATGCAAAACACTGCAATGGTACTGCCTGTCAGGTATGTCTGAATATATTGTTATGGTCTTTTTTTTCAAATCGAAGCTTTCTTCATTTCATCAGATGGTTGTTAGACTAATGTGGCTGGTAGAGTTTTGGTACAGTTGAAGTGAGTTGATGTATTATTCTTTTCAGGTGCCTTTCTGTTTAAATATTCGTCAAAAGTTGCAAGAGCAACGACGGTCACAGAATCGACGTGCAGATATGCTGATGAGACGTCGTATGGATATGTTATCTGCTGGTGGAAATGCTCCTGTTGCGGTTCCTGGCGCGTTACCACCGAATCCAGCTCTGCAAACGAATGGTAAGCTTTTAGTGCGTCTGATTGCAGTTGTGTAATTTTAGATGATTAGGTGAAATCGTCAAATTTACGTGATATCACAGTGATGTCTACAAGCTAAATTAGCGTGCTTAATGAGCCTTTGGTTGTTTGTCACGTAACACTTTTTCATCATTGTCAACGAATGAATTCTATTCTGATTGAAGGTCCAACCAGTTTGAGTGTGCCACCTCATGCAACCACAAGTCAGCACAGCGGAGCGGGTCCGATGCAGCCACAGCAGTATCAAGGTGGTGGCATGACACAAATGAGCGCCTCAGTCCATCAACAGATGCAAATTGCGCAGACGCAGGGTGGTATGATGGCTACTCAACAACAGCAACATATGGGACAGCTGCAGCAGATGCAACCTCAGCAACAGTATCAGCCATCTCACGGAGGAATTCAAGGTGCTGGAGGTGCGATGCAAATGATGGCTGCTGGTGGACAGCCGCCGCATCAGATGCAACAGGCGAATGTCATGCAACAACAGCGTATGAATATGGGTGGAGTAATGCAACGTGCTGCAGTGAACACACAACAAACAATGAATCCTCCGCCGTACGCACGTGGAACCCCACAGCAGGGTGGACCGTACGGAATGCCTGCTGGTGGAGGACCATCGACGCCATTCGCAAACACACCACCACCAACACCACAACAGCAGTCAATGATGATGAGTCAGCCTGGATCAATGCAACCGAATGCACAACCGCAACCTCAAATGATGCAGCATCAACAGGGCATGAGACGTACGCTTTTTTAAATTCCTTTTGTAGAGTTCTTTTGTACGAGGTCTTTTTGTATAGAGCCCTTTTCTTTCTTTTTTTTTTAAATTTGACGAGAACACTAAGGATCGCAGGGCAGCACGTTCTGAGAAACCATTCAAACGTGTTCGTTCAAACGAAAAGTTTGATTGGTGGTTGAACGTTGCAAAAGCAAATGATACTTGGATAGCGTTATGTGACTTGATTTATACATATACATTTCGTTATCTGAATTCCATACAGTGTGTTGTTTGAGAAGAAAACAGCATTTTTTTGATAAGTTTTAATAAGCACGGTTTTGTCATTCACTTTCATTTAATCATCGCTCAGTACTTTCGGCATTGTTCCGTCCAGGATTTTTAGCTGATTTCAAAAAATGGTCATTCTGAGTGAAGTTTTTGATTATGAATGGAGGAAGAGCGATGCCAGCCAGTATTATGAGTAATATTTTAGCAAAAATGTACTCCAATCAGATGGTCGAAGGAGGTCGCGGAACGTCCATCCAGCAAGACCCTCAACTGCAAGTGATACTACAACGACTCAAAAATGCACAAACTCAAGAGGAGAAAGAACAAGTTTTCAGCGATGTCAAAAAAGTGCCACATTTAATGGCCGCATTTATCAAGATGAAAGGCAACGGAGAAGTTCGTCTTTTATTCTTATTGTTGAGTTTTTGCTCGTAACAGACTGTTAAAATATACTTTGGTTAATGTCTCTGCTGAAATCATTCAAAATTCAATTTGTATCAGGTGCAAGGCGGTCAAGGTATGCCACAACAGCAAATGGGCGGAATGCAACAACAAGCCATGATAAGGCAGCCACAGGTAATTTGTACTCTTAAACAACAACAGTTTTGTTAAAGGTGGTTTAAGTCATTGTATTGTAACATTCTCGGCGACAGTTTGTGATCATAGCGCTAGATGGCGTTAAGTTACAACAGTCATGATAATTGGCAGATTCAGAATGTTTTGTTACTGCAGATGGTAAGTCAGCAAGGTGCACAATGGCAACAAAGTGGAATGGGTGCACCTTCAGCGGGACAGCAGCAGCAGCAGTATTATCAAACCCAACAGCAGCAATCACAACAACAACCGAGAGGTCCGGGTGGTCAGTACGCACCGATGGGTGCTGCAGGCGCTCCACAGTCGGGGAACGCACCACCTGGTGCCGGAGGACAGGCACAACCTCAGTGGCAACAACAATTCCGCAGCAATCCTCAACCGGTCAGTCCTGCCATGCAACAACAATTCAATCAGGTTTTTATTATTCTCGTTTCATTTATAGTTGTTCTGCACATGGTGATGGAATCTGTTCATTGGATTACGCTTTTCACTGTCTGTTTTGTTGCATCATATCCTTCAAGATGAATACTCTTCTGCACTTTGGCAGTCTTTTTCTTCTTTTTTTTTTAATTTGACGAGGACACTAGGGATCGCAGGTTAGCACATTCTGAGAAATCATTCAAACGCGTTCATTCGAAATGTTTGATTGGTGGTTGAATGTTGCAAAAGCAAATGATATTCTGGCAGCGTTATGTGACTTGATTTTTTTACACATTTCGCTATCTGAATTTCATACAGTGTGTTGTTTGAGAAGAAGAGAGCATTTTCAGAATATTTCTGTTATATATAATGGTAAGAACGGTTATCAGGAACATTTTTTGTAGGTTCGATCTCCGCCGATAGGACGATCACCATCGGTAGGTGGATTAGCGCCGTCACCGATGATGCAGCAACAGGGGGGTGCTCAGCAAATGCAACAACTGCCACCGCAAGGTTCAGTCGGAGGTCAAGATCAACAAGGATATCGATGATGATAATAATGGCTATGGTCGAGATGCGCATGAATATTAGTAGAATCAAGCGATTAGTCATCGTCTTGTTAAAGTCAACATCAAAACGCTCTTGTTTGAAGCTCGTGATACATCGTCTTCTCAGCACTGCCCATTACTATTGGTCTGAAGCAGCCTCAGAAAAGCAACATCATCGATTTTTGTTGATCACCACCACTTCGCAATGTGCTAATTATAAAACTCGTCTCTGTCACCATTTTTTGAGTTGTTATCATCAGAGTTGTTGTTACTTCATTTGTTGTTGTTATCCTCATTGTTATTCGAATTGTTGTTGCCGTTCATGCTCACTAATGATATCTGTGTTCGTAATATTTCACCACCGTACGATACTCCTTCACAGCCATCGACCCATTTCGTTATTACCGCAACAATCAAATTTGGACTTACGATTAGATATTTGTTGTCGTTTCATTTCGGTGATCTCAAATTTAAGAGCCTGAAGACGTTCACTTCAAAAGATCATGTGCCATGGTTAACGAATGCGGGTCAATGGGTTTGGGCTTGAGTATTGATTATAGTTTCGTTCGTACGGTCTTTCAGCCAAGAGCACAGCTGTAAAGAGGTGATGTTACGGTATTGTGTATTCTCTTTTGAAGCTGCCAAACGGGTTGTTAATTCTGTTCAGTTTGTGTGTTGTTATCGTTATTATTAATTTGAGTTTGTATATGTCTGAATGTGTGTTGGCTCACGAAGTTCTATGCCTGGAGTAGTTGCTGATGTGGGTCTTCAATTTGATCTGAAACTGTTTTATCGTGGTTTTTTATGCTGCTTATTTATTCATAATTTCTTGAGATTTTCGTTTTGTTTTATTGTTGTTTTTGTTCATACAGAATCGTTCTTTGTTTAATTATTTGCTGAACATTTTTCTCATTTAATTTGTGATATATCATGATATAGGTTAGCGCTAAATTTTACCATTATCATGGCTCCACAACTGGCGCACACAAATGTCAGTCTGAAATATATATTTATTTGTATTTCCTTTCGGGTGAGTAACGTATGAGTTTGTATTTTGAATTTTGTGAAAGTTTGTCTGTGGGTACTTGATTTCTCTCCGTTTCCTTCTCCCTGACGTTCCATTGGATAATGTTATTCATTTCGTTCATTCGTGCGTAAGTCTCTCGCCATTGTGCCTCCTACCCTTATCCATTATTTTTATCCAGTTATATTCCACCTCTTTAAATATATGTCTGCTGGGTGTGTTCTGTTCCAGTGCTTCACGGTACTAATCACTGTTTATCTGCGGACTATTTTTTTTAAATGAAAGCACTTAAAAACCATTCTGATTATGGAACATGTTTTCCTTTTGTCTCAGTTGTTTTCATTTAGTTTAGTCGCCTCGCCGTCTGCACCTAGAGTCATCTTGATAGAAGTTTTTCAACGAAGTGCTCGGAACTGAACCTCGAGAGAATATTACATATATGTAGCTGTGTATCTGTCTCGTTTTGTTGATCTTGTACACTTCTATTGACACAGATAGGTATATAACCCGTGAACATATTGTTAGATTCTTGTAATGATAATTTTTAGTGATGATTATGGTAGCTGCAATGTGCACTTGCGTAGAGTAATTATAAGAGAAGATCCGTTTGAGATGCAGTTTGATTATGGTTGCTGTTAATTGGTTAATGTTTGAGAAGTGTTATCAATGGGATGATGAGTACGTTTGTGTTAGTTGATTTATTGTAAATTATTTGCAATTTTTTGAATGATTCATGTTCGATTGTTGTTGTTTATATTTATAATAATACTTCATTGTTTTCGTTTCGAAACATTACTGTTATTATCGTTTTGCTGCTGTTTGTTTGTTCGTTATGTTTCAATTGTTTGTATATATTCATGTTTTCATTGTGGTGATGCGCGCCTGTGGCGCAACTGTTTTGCTCCAATTGTCCGCGCTATATACTCTTATTTCATACACTCTTCTCCTGTTTTGTTATAAACGATTTATGCTCTGTCAAGTCAATTAACTCTTCAGAAAATTTCGAGTTCATTCTCTAGTTTCGTTTTGTGGAAAAATTCATTTATACGAAATCCAACGAACATCTAATGCAAATACAGATGCATATATGCTCGTTGCTGTGTTATCAATGTTGCTGCCTCGCTCCTATCATCTATTTCGTTTTAAATTTTTTTTACTTCTTTTTTTGCTTAAAAACAGCACTCTCAAATCGTGCGGACAGTTCTTTCTTCTGGTCTGTTCCCTAGCTAACACGCACAATACGATCTCATCTGCACGATCACATTCTCAGTATTGAAGTTTTTCCGATTATTTCATGAGTGAAAAAACGACACTTCGGCTTCATCTTTGGCATAAAATTTAACTTCCTCATATTGTGTTCTTTCATGCTCCTCTTAAGACAAGTTGTTCAGTTTGCTTTGTTCAGTCTGGAAATAAGTCCTTAGCATACGATCAATAGAATAAAAAACTGAAAGAAAATCCACAAATTGGTTCTGATGTTAGTGATAGTGCAGATAGAGGTCGCTAACGTTTCAGAATCAATATGGCCTCTAGGCATTAATCCCACATCTGATGGCATCTAGAACTTGTGCTGTGTTGGGGCAGCAAGAAGGCACGATCATCAACACTTGAAATCCTAGTTCCAAAACATGAAAATTTTATTCAATCCCAATCATCTTTCAGTTTTTCTAAAAATTCCGATTTATAGTCGATCAGTTTTAGCTGAAATGTATTTGATCACGATCAAATGACCGTAACCTGGTAAATTAGAGGTGACCTGTGCTACTGCGATGGCTTTTGATCGTGATTTAATCGCTGAAAACTATCATGATCCGTTTCGCGATCATGTTCTGCTTGTTTTCCTACACTTGTGACTCGACATAGGCGACTAGTGTTTCCGTCTGAAATGCAGATATTGTACAAAGATGGTTGTTTCAGTTTTCAATGTGGAATCGGAACTATGAATTGTTTATATATTCAGAACTGAACAATTATACTAGGTTATACCGCTAACGACTCGTTGTATTCTCCACAATACACTAGTGACGAACGCTTAGGACTAAGAGTTTTCATTCATTTTTATTTCCAATTGCTGTGATATTTGACATAATTACTGTATTGTCGTTATCACCATCTGTTGCTGTTTATACTACAATTTTATTTGTTTGGATTGGATTTGGGCTCATACGGTCGTACAGTTCTAATTCGAATTGGCGTCATTCATTTGTATGTGATTATGTCTGCATAAGAGAAGAATTTAGAAAGTGTCACTATCATTGTCAAAGATGGGAAAAGAACTGAAGGTTTGATGGTGGAAATGTGGTCATTTGATTGCAGCATTTTGAAATGTCGATTGTGACGAGAGTTCTAATTAAGTTTTTATGTGCTTAAGGATTATTTGCTGAAGTTATTAACGGTCTATGTATTCTTGCTAATTTATTTCACAACTCTTTTCGCATTTGCAGTTCAATTTTGTTTTCTGATCCTCGTTTCCATGTTGTATTTCATAATTTTATCACTGAACCATTTTATCTGAATTATTGCTTGTACGGATAGATGATAGTCAAGTGGTTTGGAACTGTAATTGTATTGTGCGAGAACAGTGGAAACGAGCTGTGTTGTGTGTTTCCATGAATGCCCAATGTTGTGCTATTTGTTATGTCATCTTGCACCTATCCTTTTACTATCATTAATAATAATCTACCGAATTTAATTCCTCCTCTGTTTTCTCGTTTGAAAATGGCTTGTTCTCTAATGACACATATGATCCGTCCATTCAATTCATAATTCTTTTATCCTCTATGCACTCATTCATCCAAAATTTATAATATCTCAGCATTGTTTCTGTAATATTTCATGAAAATTTATTGTTATTTCAAAGTTTGATGATTCCTTCTACGTTCTGGAAATATTTGTAAAGTGCGCCAGATTGAATTCCTTTCTGGATTTGTTCTACTCGTCGCATAGAAGAGTGTGTTGTGTTTTTGATGTATGTTTGTTTTATTCCTTTCTGATTTTTGGTTACAGCAGTCGTAAGAATACTGTTAATTGCAAATGGAATAATTGAACTAGGAATGTCTTACTCAGTAAGGAGATGAAAATCTTGCATTTGATTGTTTTTGTTTCTGAAAGGATTTTGGATGAATTTAATTCATTGCATCTGGATCATGCTAGCAGCTCAATTGGAACATGCTAAGCTCTGGTAGCTTTTTGAGTTTTTTATTAGTTCTGATTTTGTTGTCGACATCTTGGAATAGTATTCATTGATTATTGCTCGGGCGATAGACCGATCGTATTCTCAGAAAGATATCCATTTCGAATTACATGGGGCTGTTGTTTTCTTGTTGAGTTGGTTGATTCTTTCATGTATTATGTACTGACTTTATTGTTGTTATTTTTGTTGTTGTGGGTAACGTTTATTTGTTTATGTTAAAATTAACAACCGGATGATTATCTTCGTTATTATTATTATCATTGAATCACACTGTTTTCGACAGTGTGATTCAATGATAATAACACTTAATCACATTCGGTGATTGTTCATTTGCATTCGTTTGTGTTGCTGTTTTATGCAAAAAAAGTTATCGGAATAGTTGATTGATGGTGAGTGGAGTGCAGCTATATTTGGTTTGACTTTGAGCGATTTTTATCATTTTTAATATCATCGTTTTTGAGTTTTCATTGGAAAAGAAGAGAATGTTGTGTTCTTGTTCTTCCGTACTCGCTGTTTGTTTTGTGCTGTTTTGGTTTGAATTTTGTTGTTTTTGCGATTTTTTGTATGTGTTCTTTCTTGTCCATATTGATGAGTTTCATATATGATTGAATAAGATATATAAAATAATTTCTTAATGAGTAATTGTTTCATATTGCATCATATTTCATTTCAGAATCGTCAACACTGCCGGGTTAGACGGTGGAAAAAGCGGTAAGATTGGCCTCTGAAATCTGAAATCACTCGAGTTTCGTACGCTTTCCACCCTGGAATCGTTCGAGTCGTGTT